AGTAGTACTTGGTGTGTTCTAATACAAATCCCTAGTCTCTGGAGCACACAGCCATAAAGCATGTTTCAACTTTGTAACATAATTTTTTGTATTGTATTATAACTACATTATTTCCGCTGTCTCGTTCCTGCCTCCAAGGCCCCCTATAGCCTCTTCCTTGTGTTCTCATCCATGGTCTCTGTTTAACAACAAATACTGTTTGAATGTGACCTGTGTTTGGCTGTAGGACCTCTCAGCTATGAAGCAAAGGGTTGTCTGTGCTACACATTGAGTGTGTAATTGAATGTGCTCACATGGGATCCTTGGAAGAGGAACAGGAAGTGTTCTGGGAGATTGGAGGATTTTACTAAACTATGAATATCCCAGATCAGGACCCTGTCTGATTGTAGTGTAGAAGGGCAAAGCTGGGAGGGCCTGTGTGGTCTGAATCATTTGATCTCTCCTCTCCCAGTAGGGTAACTTCCAATGTTCTGAAGCCCAGCAGGGTCGTCTTAACTAATGATGAACTTTGGGAAAGCTTAGCCATCAGGAGCACCAGTGGGAGGCAACTTACAGTTTCTTTTCAGTATTCTCCTCTTGTTCTGATGTGGGGAGCTATAAGGAAGACCACAGGCCATGCCATGGTGAGTTTGGAGGCCACTGTCCCCAGACCAGGAAGAGCAGGTTTGCTGAGCTATCAGAATCTGAACTGCTTGGGCTGGGATGGACCATGAGCCATGGTGGCTGTCAGTAGCAGAAAGTTGAAAACATTCTAATCATGTATTGCTGAAGGATCACACACATACACACACACACACACACACACACACACACACACACACACATATATATATTTGCATTGAGCATTCTGTTTCCACTTTGCATGTAGCTTTGGAATCACCTTTTTTCTTATAAAATGTTGGGCATTGTCTTTGGACTGCATTCAATTTATGATTTAAATTAACCATAAACAACATCTTAATATTGAAGCATCATATTCCCTAGTATCATTTATATAATTTATTTATTTATGTGTTGTTGTGAATCTGTGAAAGACTTTTAGATTATTGAATAAAAAGTATTATTGGGCTTGGCAGGTGGCTCAGCACATATTATTCTTGGTGATGACCTCAGTTCAGATCCCAGCACCCAAATCAGGAGGCTCATAGCTACCCACTACTTCAGGTTTAGGGTATCTGATAGGCTCTTTTCTGATGTGTTACTTGTACACACATGGAAGACATTCCCTCAAACATACAAATATATACATAAAAAACAGGGATAATTTTATTTTCAAAAGTTCTTTTTACTCATAAAGCAATTAGAGAAAAACAAGTTGTTTTAGGTTTTTAATAGAAATCATACATTGTTTCTTTAAAAATCTGTTCTCTTGCATTTGATTTGGGAAAGTTTTTCTTTCCTCATCCTGATGCATTTAAGGCAATCATCAGTCATAGGAAAGCTGTCCTAACTTTTGTGAGCAAGAAGGTAGATATGCATAACTAGTATAACATTTTAGTATGGCAAGGGACATCACACAAGGTTCATACTCTGAATTCCCAATTGTGGTCCTAATCCTATCCTGCCAGGGCTGCTCATCTGTGCAATGTATCTTAGCTGATGTTCAGGTCCAGTCTCTAACTGAAGTCTCTGATTCATGGGTCATCATCCTGGGGAAGATGCTCTATCCCCAGGGTTGATCAAGATGATGTCTCTTCACATGTCTAGAGTAGTACTTTGGTCTCTGTTTATATACTGTCCAGTGGATGTCATGTTGTTCTAATACTGTGTCTTGTTATCTGGAGTGAGTGATATTGCTAAGTTCTTGTTATCAGATACAGCCTTGGGTGTAGCGGGGTTCATGAATAAGCTGTTTTTACATGTCTAAAATGTGTTTTTTCAGGATCTAATGAGATGATCATGTGGTTTTATTTTTTCTTTCAGTTTTTATGACAGATTTTCCTATGTTGAACCATCCCTGCATCTCTCAGATTAAGCCTACTTTATCAGAGTGGATGATTTTTTTTTCATGTGTTCTTGGATATGGTTTGCCAGAATTTTATTGAGTAATTTTTTATCAATGTTCATGAAGGGACACTGGTCTGTAATTCTCTTTCTCAGTTGAGTCTTTGTGTAGTTTGTGTATCATGGTATCTAGAGCCTCATATAAAGAATTTGGCAATGTTCCTTCTATTTCTATTGCATGGAACAATTTGAGGATTATTGGCATTAGATCTTCTTTGAAATTATGGTAGAATTCTGCACTGAAACAATTTGGCACTGGGATTTTTTTGTTTGGGAGACATTTAATGACCTTCTATTTCTTTTTTATTATTATTTTGGTTTTTCGAGACAGGGTTTCTCTGTGTAGCTTTATAGCCTATCCTTGCACTCGCTCTGGAGACCAGGCTGGCCTCAAACTCACAGAGATCCGCCTGCCTCTGCCTCCCGAGTGCTGGGATTACAGGCGTGCACCACCAACGCCCGGCAATGACCTTCTATTTCTTTGGGGATTATAGGTCTATTTAAATTATTTATCTAGTCTTGATTTAATTTTGGTATGTGGTACCTATCAAGATAATTGTCCATTTCTTTTATATTTTCCAGTTTTGTAGAGTACAGGTTTTTGAAGTGTGAACTAAAGAGTGCCTGGATTTCCTCAGTATCTGTTGTTATATCCCGCTTTTTATTTTTCATTCTGTTAATTTGGATATTTTCTCTCTGCCTTTTAGTTGATTTGGATATCTTGTTGATATCACTGATTCTTGGTATTGTTCTTTGTTTCCATTTTACTGATTTCAGCATGGACTTTGATTATTTCCTGCTGTTTACTCCTCCTGCATGAGTTTGTTTCTTTTTTCTAGAGGAGGAGTGAATGGGGGCTACAAGGGAGGTGAGGGGAGGGAGTGTGAGAAGAGGAGGGAGGAGAAACTGGTTAGTATATAAAATAAATGAAAAAATTTAATAAAAATTAAAGGACAAAATGAAAAGGATTCAAAGTTATAATACTGTGTGAGAGGCACATTGGCAGGTGGATTTGAACCACAGCAAGTGAGGGACAAACACTCCATGAAGACAGAGCTTACAGGAAGTTTTATTGCCAGAAGGTACCCTAGTCCTTGAGGCAATACACAGTGCCAATAGGGACCACATATAAGAATTATTAACAATTTCATAGCAATGTTCAACTTTGGGCCACAACAAGAAAAGGAGAAAGCATACAATATATATTCTATTTAATAATAAATAAATAAATTTATTTAATAATAAATAAATAAATAATAATAAATAAATCAGTATAGAAGGTAAGAACTCCAGAAATGGGAGTTTGTCTTACAATACGTGGAAGGATCCAGATTGTCTTTTTATGAATTTAATTCTGTCAGCTTTGGGATAGTTCTTGCTAATTGTTTCCAAAAAGTCAATAAGAGCTATTTGACAATATTCATTATCCTTCCATAAGGAAGAAATTTCATCATTAGTTAAAAGTACTATAATTTCTGCTGGATCTTTTCCAGTCATTTGACGAAGTCTTAATTTGCCCTTTAAAATCAAATCAGAAATCTTTTCTATATATGTCTTTAACTTTTTATTCTGTTTATGTGGCAGAAATATCCACTCTAATATAGTGTCTTCCCTCTGCATCAGAATTCCAGAAGGATATTCTCTGGATGGTAAGATGACCACAATAAAATCTAAATCAAGGTTTATCCGATGTATATGTGCATCCAATATTCTTTTTTCTACCCATTGTAGTTCTTTTTCTGCCTCAGCAGATAATATTCATGGACTGTTTAGGTCCTTATCACCTTTAAGAGCTATTTTTAAATGTTTTAAGTCATGACCTTCTACCCCAATAATCGTCTGTAATTGAGAAATTTCTCCTGACAGCTTCTGAAGACTATTTAGAGTTTGATAATGATCCTTGAGCCTAGCAATGATATCTTGATGGAAAGTTTCAATCTCATTAATCATGAAAGATTCAAGGCATGATAGTGAATCTTTGAAATGCTGTGACTGCTGTTCTATATGGTTTTCTAGGTGTATAATTTGTTCATCCCTAACTAGCATCTGGGTGGCATGGAGATTGCCGTGCAGGAATTGAAATTTAGAACCAAGGTCATGATTTGCCTCAGCAATCAACCTGATGGACTTTTCTAGTTTGTCAGCTCTGTTCTGTAATTCATCTTGCAAACTTTCAAACTTAGATTCAACTCTATTATCTCCCCTGTTCTATTTTTCAGCCACTGATTTAATGGCATTATCCAATTGTTTAAACCTATCCTGGGTATCTTGCATCTTAGTATCCAAACTACAGAACAGAGAGGCTATCTGAGTTTCCAGGTGATCCAATTGTTTAAACCTATCCTAGGTATCTTGCATCTTAGTATCCAGAGTACAGGTCAGAGAGGCTATCTGAGTTTCCAGTTGGTTACATATTTTCTTTAGTTCATCATGGTCCTCTGACCGCCTAGCCTCTAATGCCTCTGAAATGGAGAATCTCTCTGCATTTATCTTATCATAAATGTGGTGCATTTCAACTTGGGTATTAGACAGCTCTGCCCGTATCATATAAAACATAGAGCAAAACCTATCATCTAGCTTCTGTTCTACATGCTGCATAAATGTATCATGGGTCAGTCTGGTCTCCAAAACCTCATTACATAAAGCTTGCATGTCCTGTAGGCAGGTGGTGAAATTAGCTTTATCCCTGTTCCTGACTAGTGATAATACGTGTATTAACACACTAACAACTAACAAAGCATATAAGCCAATATTCAGAAGATCAACCTCTTCCTCAAACACTGAATTTACATAAGAAGTGGAAACATTATGACAGAAATTCGGCCATATTCACCAGCAGCATTAACTCCAGATGCAGTAACCACTTTTTACCAGCAGGTGGCGCAGGTACAGTTGTGTTGAGTAGGATCTGAAATTTCTTGAAAATCCTTATAGAGCGTGTTAAGACGGATTGGGGATGTGTTTTTACTAGGTATGGGAAAATCTTTGGATGGTACCTGGTGGAGACCAAGCTTGGCAGATGGATCTGAACAAAGGCCCGTCACTGGGCTGGAGCGGTAGGCTATGCAATGGGGCCTCATCGGTGAGCGGTTTTCTGTGGAGAAAACCTGCAGGCGGGCAGGCGCGGGGGTTTTTTGGTAGCGGCTACAGGCCACAGAAACTATAACGGCCCGCACAGAAAAGGCAAACCTGTTTTGGTCGCACCTGAGGACCGCTGGCCCATGCACGTGGCTAGCGGTAAATTAATGCGCAGCTGTGGCGCAAATTGCTGCCTGGAGCAATAAAACCTGCAGCCAAGCAGGGTGTTGGTGGCACATGCCTTTAATCGCAGCACTCGTGAGGCAGAGACAGGCGGATCTCTGTGAGTTCGAGGCCAGACTGGTGTCCAGAGCAAGTGCCAGGACAGGCTCCAAAGCTACACAGAGAAACCCTGTCTCGAAAAACCAAAAACAAACAAACAAACAAACAAACAAAAAAAA